TCCCCAAGCCTCAGTTACATCCCCCACCATCCACAGTGGCCCACCTCCCATAACCCCGACGTCCTGCGTACTTCACCAGTGAGAGCATTCGACTCACAATCGCAAGATCCCGGATTCGACTTCCTAGCACGAAGAAACAGATGAGCCAATTTACACCAGTGCTGGTCCTGCCAGCTTAGTAATAAAAAATAGACACCTGTGTATTAGATAACCGGTTCGCATCTAAGGAAAAAAATGTTAGAAAATTGCAGTCCTGCTGGAATGTTACATCCTGCGTACAGAAGCACTGAAGTGCCGTGTGTAAGACACTCCAGCACCTGCTGGAAATATTCATGTGTTAGGCAAACTGTATCCTTATACCTAGATGGTAAAAACAAGAAATATTCTCCCCACCCATCACAATGATAACAAATGACAACGTGGCTCTTTATCTTCCTCCTCGACCTGATACATGCAGCTTTCTTCTCAGCAGGGAGACCAGAGAGTCACTTCTCTATGTTAAAACACCGACTGAACCCACAAGGAATTACATCTCGAAATGCAAGGGAAAACAAGAAGGACACCAAGGCAGGAAGGCCAGGAAAGGAGATTGTCTCAGCGTGGAGATGGTTGTTGAGATGAGATGCTGGAGGCTGCAGGATAATAACTCAGGTGGAGAGATTGCTTGTGGGAGGAGCATCAAGCAGGTGGTGACATGGAAGTTGCCTATGTCATCATGGCTTCCACTGTACTCTCCTAGTTGTAGTTACGGGGGTTGTATCTTGGCCTCATCAGCTTCATTCGAATGGTTTCATAAGTATCTTGTCTCACAAGCCCTCTCTTGTCTATCCTTATATTCTCTGTCTGTCAGTCTGTCTGTCTGTCTGTCTGTCTGTCTGTCTGTCTTCTCTCTCTCTCTCTCTCTCTCTCTCTCTCTCTCTCTCTCTCTCTCTCTCTCTCTCTTTCTGTGTGTATGTGTGTTTCTATGTGCGCGCGCACGTTATCACGTTATTGTACTCTCCCATTTGTGTTTACTTGGAGGTTATTCCGGGGATCAACGCACCCGCGGCCCGGTTCACAACCAGGCTTCCCGGTAGATTAGGGCCTGATCAACCAGACTGTTACTGCTGGCCGCATGTAGTCCAACGAACGAACCACAGCCCGGCTGATCCAGCAACGACTTCAAGTATCTGTCCAGCTCCCCCTTAAAGGCAGCCAGGGGCCTATTGGTAATTCCTCTTATGCTTGGCGGAAGACTGTTGAACAGTCTTGGGCCCCGGACACTTATGGCGTTTTCTCTTAGTGTACCAATGGTGCTCTTACTTTTCATTGGGGATATTTTGCACAGCCTGACCAGTCTTTTACTTTCGTAGGGAGTGATTTCTGTGTGCAGATTAGGGATCATTCCTTCTAGGATTTTCCAAGTGTAGATTATGATATATATATATCTCTCGCCTGCGTTCCAACAAGTACAAGTCAAGTGCTTCCAAGCGTTCCCAGTAGTTGAAGTGTTTGATGGAACTTATATGTGCAGTAAAGGTTCTCTGTACACTCCCTAGATCTGCAATTTCACCTGCTTTGAACGGAGATGTCAATGTACAACAATATTCCAGCCTAGAGAGGACATGTGATTTGAAAAGGATCATCACTGGCTTGGCATCTCTTGTTTTGAACGTTCTCATTATCCATCCTATCATTTTCTTTGCACTTGTGATCGTGGCACTGTTGTGATCCTTGAAAGTGAGATTCTCAGACATTACCACTCCCAGGTCCCTCACATTATTTTTCCGCTCTATTATATGATCAGAGAGACTATTTCCAACCCCCTAATAATGCCTCTCCTATCATGTTTGCCAACATGTCTATGCAATTACCTGTCTGTATAATTACCTGTCTTTGTGAAAACCCTATCCTGTGTGATTACCCGTCCTTGCGTGATTACCAATCTGTGTGATTACCCGTGTTTGATTCTCTGTTCGATGACACAATAGCGGAGCTCTGCTTGTTTGACCTCGTTTTCATTACCATTGCTTAACATTCTCACACCAGTAGAAAGAACACAGCTGCCATGGTGTCTACTAGATGAAAAAAAAGGGTGGAGCAGGTGTGACGAAGCTTGCTCACACGTCTCGTCCAGCTCAGTGCTTTTTCTATTAAAACACTGAGAATCTTTCATTTGTACAGTGACTACTGTGTACCGGATATCCATCATGTCCTGCTACGTTCTTTTCCTCGTTCTAAAGTGGCTCTCGTACTCCCTTCCCACCACCTTCCCTTCCTCTAGCTGCTCGCCCTCCTACAACCTTTCCCATCAGTCTCACTTTCTCTCTCCCTCTCTCTCTCTCTCTCTTCCTTGCTTTGTTCATACATTCGCAAAGTGCTCATTTTCTTTCCGTCGCGCACAAACCTCGTCTCCTTTTCCATCTACTTTCCTCCGTCTTCCGTCCGTCTCTCTGTTTCTTGCTCTTACCTCCAAGTGTGCCAGGTCAACGCCTCGCTTCTGGCACCGGGGTAGCAAAAATATTTTGTTGAGGCTGTAATGACCATGTCAGGAGTGATTAGGCTGTCGCTCTCTCGTTATCACCTCTTTAATGAGGCGCCTTTAAATTGCTCCTTATTGCCAGGGTGACAAAGCTAGGAATGACATTCAGGGTGTTTGAAAGGGTGAGAGAGGAGATAGACAGGTGGGTGAGAGAGGTGTGGTGAAAGAGAGAGGAAAGAAAAGGGTAGGATTGAGGGATGACATGAAGGCACGAGGGGTGGAATGGGAGATAAAACAAGGGATAGCGAGGTGGGAGTGGAGATAAGGTAGGGATAGAGAGGTGGGAGTGGAGATAAGGTAGGGGATAGAGAGGTGGGAGGAGGGGGGGGGAAGTGGCACTCAGGAGAAGAAGGGAAGATTGTGATTTAGAGAAAAGTGCTAAAGGGGTTACCTGGAGGTTACCTGGAGGTTACCTGGAGGTTATTCCGAGGATCAACGCCCCCGCGGCCCGGTCCATGACCAGGCCTGGGTGCGAGTAGGATATGAAAGAGGGGACGAAGGGCCGTGATGGAGTAGATAAGAGTAGAATAAAGGACAAAACAAAAAGGAGAATGGTCATATACTGAGATATAATTAATAATAAAACAATAATAACAAGGTAAATAATAATAATAATGAAAATCGAAGATTTCGGATGAAAATCACACAGATACTGACATGAACACTTATGAATGTGTGTGAGTACACACGTTAGTAGGTGGAACACTTACAGTGTCACGCACGTTAGTAAGTGGAACACTTACATTCACGCACGTGAAGTGAACACTTCATCACGCACGTTAGTAAGTGGAACAATTACAGTGTCACGCACGTTAGTAGGTGGAACACTTACAGTGTCACGCACGTTAGTAAGTGGAACACTTACAGTGTCACGCACGTTAGTAAGTGGAACACTTACAGTGTCACCACGTAGTAAGTGGAACACTTACAGTGTCACGCACGTTAGTAGGTGGAACACTTACAGTGTCACGCACGTTAGTAAGTGGAACACTCACAGTGTCCTCGGCTACCCTATCTCAGTTATTTTTTATGAATAATTGGGTTCAGCTACGTATTGCTACCCAGTTCTGTAAGTCTTTGTGAGAATTAAAGCTATCTTTTCCACTGACACATTCCATCACACAGGATGGATTTCATACGTAGCCTATTGTGTACGATAGTTCCATGGCGGAAACAAAAGCTAACTGTCCCTATCATACTCCGTCATACTGGATGGGTTGCATGCGTCGAGTAATGAAACGAGAGACGTCGGTAAAGGCAATGAGGATGCTGTCAGCATCAGATGCCGACTACTTCAGAAATCTCTTTCCATCACCGGGTCATTAGACAGCTGACTACATTAATAGTAAAGAAAATTATTGGGTATCTTTATGAAAAAATAGACACGTAAACTCACTCGCTCATTCACACACACCACACACACACACACACACACACACACACACACACACACACACACACACACACACACAGGAACTAAGACTCGACCCCTGCAACCACAAATAGGTGAGTACACACGTCTGAAGCGCACATCAACCATATAACTGCTGCAGCATACGGGCGCCTGGCAAACCTGAGAATAGCGTTCCGATACCTCAATAAGGAATCGTTCAAGACTCTGTACACAGTGTACGTCAGGCCCATACTAGAGTATGCAGCACCAGTTAGGAACCCACACCTGGTCAAGCAAGTCAAGAAATTAAACAAAGTGCTAAGGATTGCAACAAGGCTAGTTCCAGATTATTATTATTATTACAATCAGGTGAACGCTAAACGGAGGTTAAGGACAGCGCCTGGGGGATGGAAGGCATTCAGGCTTAATTGGGGAACTGAGCACAGAACCAATTCCTAAATCAGAGCCCACCAACATCAAGGAACCTGAGGGGAGCTGTTCCAGAGTAAAGGAAAAGTGATACGAAGAAAGGTTAGGAAATCGCCTGAGATACTAGATCGAGGTTAGGGAGACATAATAACGCAACAAATTTCTGTAAGATAGATATAGGGACAGACAGTGTTCAGAGATGGAACAGCAAGGGTCATGGAAGTTGAGACTCTGTAAAGGGATGTAGGAAGTATTCCTTAGTCATAGATTTGTCAAATGAACATCGGAAGTGTTGATGAGGCAGGAACCAACATGATTTAAGACGAGTATGTAAGCCAGAAGAGGAGAAAGGACCTAGTAGCGATCAGTGAAGAGGCGTGGCCAGGAGCTATGTTCGACTCTGCAACCACAAATAGGTGAGTACAAATAGGTGAGTACACACACACACACCAGTTTTTGTCTGCCTCTGCCTCTTCCCTTCTCTCTCTCTCTCTCTCTCTCTCTCTCTTCTCTCTCTCTCTTTCTCTCTCTCTTTCTCTCTAATGAAACAATTATCAGAGCTCTCCAATAACGACATAAATGACACAAGATAACGAATCCGTCCTGAGTAAGAGCCATCATGAGGAACATCATCAGTGCAACAAGATATGTACTCACCTCCGTCGTTGTCAATCTCGTCGCTACAGCGAGTTTCCAGCTGAACGGAACAGTCTGGTCCGGTCCAGCCTTCAGAACACTCACACAGGTACTGGCGGTCCACTGTGGTACACATGCCATGGCCCGAACACCCGTTAACACATCCCGCTGCGATGGAGAGAACACAAAAACATTAGAATGAAGATGCACTACAGTAGTCCTTCTGCCTCGTAGAGGCAAATCCTTATAAACTCATTCCAGAGAACAGAACATAGCGGTAAACCTACTGGATCCTGTTAGACAGATTCTGTTTACACTTAACCATTCATAGGAAGAGGATCATGCTGCAGATCTCGCGAAGCCTACAGAAGTTGTCCCTTTTCTAGACAAAATAGTTAGAAATCTTAATGGCCAAAATATCCCTCAATGCTACCAAGGTTACCGTTCACTAGCCTTATGTCTGGCAGCATATATCCCCACCTGTCAGTTACTGAGACAGATTTCTCACCATCCCACGCATAGTAACATCCTAGACCCATTACGCTTCCGCTCACCGACTGTTAATTTGATACTGCGAACACAAGCACATTTCTCTTCTCATCAAGAATCTTCTCCTGGATGAAAGGACTGGAATATATTAATAACCTGAGTCTCTTCCTCAAAGTAAAAGAACGTTGTGGTGTATTATTACTTTCCCATACATATTCCTACGAATGTTGGCAGCTTTTGGTGGTGTTTTGAGCGTCAAGAAAAGGGACTGTCTTTCCTGACTTGGCCAGATGGAGCTGCGGTAAATGGTTAATTATCAGCTCTCCTACACCAGCTAGGTCTTTACCCCTTTTAAAAAAAGGAAGGATCGTTACGTAATAGATTTCTGAGATGATTCCACATACCAGATGAAATTAGAAACTTATTTTCGTGGTTCCTGGGTCCACTTGAGTAAAATACGTGTTTCATACATAAACAATTAGTGAGGGTTGCCAGGCACTTACATGCGCTTACATTCTATGAAGACTCACAGCTTACAGTTTTTTTTTTCCTCTTCTTGCTTTATCATGAGTAGGAAAATTGGCTTCATGTCAAGAAAAAAATACATGCTGGAAAAAAATGATTTGCCATAGATCACTGGTTGTTAAGAGAGCTAAGCCCATACTGGTATATCCAGGAACCTGACAGTCACAAAGGCAGTGACAATATAATGTTAGGCCATCATGAAGGTGCTGACAACACAGCGTATGGACCGCAATGAAGACATTGACAACGTACCATCTTACACTGTCACAGAGGTGTTGACAACACATCTTACACCAACAGCCATAAAAGCACCGACCACACAGTATCTTACACCGACCACCAGTGACAACATGCAGTGACACACTATCATGGACGCACTGGCAGCACACTGCCTTCCATACACTATCAGAGGAGATTCCTGCTACGTTTCAATTTTATCAGTTAATAATTACAAATTTATATATATTTTTGATGAAGTATAATAAATGTGAAAAAAATGATACAATATTAATTAATACAATAAGTAATTTATAATAAACAACTTAGGGACTATTACACTAGCATGCATTACTAATATGACAATAATAGTTCTTAATACAACACTCTGAGGTGCTACTACTAGCAATACTACTGTTACTAATACAACTATTAAAACTATTACCACGACTATTCAACAGCCTCCCCTCAGGCATAAGAGGAGTTATGACTATAACACTGGCAGCCTTCAAGAAGGAGTTGGATACATACCTAAAGTCAGTTCCTGAGCAGCCGGGCTGTGGTTCGTACGTTGGACTACGTGCGACCGGCAGTAACAGCCTGGCTGATCAGGCCCTGACCCACCGGGAGGCCTGGTCAATGACTAGGCCAGCGGGGGCGTTGACCCCCGGAATACCCCCCGGGCAGGTAGGTTGGCACTACGGGGGCGTTGACCCCCGGAATACCCCCGTGAGCGTAGGTTGGCACTACGGCGGGCGTTGGCACCCGGAATACCCCCCGGGCAGGTAGGTTGGCACTACGGGGGCGTTGACCCCCGAATACCCCCCGGGCAGGTAGGTTGGCACTACGGGGGCGTTGACCCCCGGAATACCCCCGAGCAGGTAAATTGGTACTACCAAATATATTATTGCTTCTACTAGTACACCAATACTTCCATAGCATCACAAGAGCCGTGTCAACTTACGTATGGTGCAGTGTCTGCCGTTCCAACCCTGCACGCAGACGCAGGTGCCATTGTGGCACTGTCCGTGCAGGTTACACCTTTGGTCGCACGACCGCTGGTCGCACCTGTCCCCTGTCCAACCAGCCTGGCACTCGCACCCGCCCTTGTCGCACTCTCCGTGCACGCACTCAAGACTACACCGAGCTGTGAGGGAAGAGGAACAGGAGTGAAATATTTCATGATAAAGCTGAGTGCATACACTGTGTGGCTACCCTATTAGCTATGAGATCTGCATGGTAGGAACACCCATAACGTGAAGGCACCTTATACAATATAAGTTCCTTGGTGGGAACACTTGCTGTGAACAGCTGTGTTATTCTGTATGAGAGATACATTGTGAAAACACTTGTAGAGTGTAGTTAATTATCTTCTACATGATAGCTATGTAGTGGGAATGCCCACAGTGTGTGGCTACACAATCCTATATAAGAAATACATGGTGGGAACACCATCATTGAATATAAAAGCTACACTGTTGCAACACCTGCAATGTGTCTATACTACGCAGTTTGGGTGTCATACATGAGATGACGACATCATTAGCTTGACCTGGGAGACTTCAAGGAAACGATGAGGATATCTTCAAGTATTTCAGTAGCTACGGTATCTTTAAAGTTTTTGCTTCAGCAGGGATGGCGTTCCTATTACACACCCATAATATATATATATATATATATATATATATATATATATATATATATATATATATATATATATATATATATTGCCGAATAGGGTAAATTGGTCATTTAGCAAGAACTCGTTTAAAATTAAGTCCTTTCTAAAATTTTCTCTTATAAATTTAAAGATATATTTTTTCATTTATGTTAACATAAAAATAATAATTTTGTACCAAAAGAACCTTAGAAAACTTACCTAACCTTATTATAACAAGTGCAATTTAATTTAGCCTAATCCAACTAAATATATTTCAGATAAGCTTACAATAATTTAATAATAAATACAATGAAATATATTTTTTTCATTACGTTCATAATGATTTTTGAGAAATTATTGCATACACAAATTTTAACTTGCCAATATCGCAAGTTTTACCTATTCGGCACGATATATATATATTATATATATTATATATATATATATATATATTATATATATATATATATTTAATATATATATATATTATATATATGAAGAGGTGTTAATGTTGCAGTTTAAAAACTGTAGTGTAAAGCACCTCTGGCAAGACAGTGATGGAGTGAATGATGGTGAAAGTTTTTCTTTTTCGGGCCACCCTGCCTTGGTGGGAATCGGCCAGTGTGATAATAAAAAAAAATTAATATATATATATTAAGCAAATATCACAAACCAAGCGAAACAACCACGGGGGGAGTAGAATGATAGCTCTAGGCCCTTCGTGTTGCAATCAACACATCATCAGGAGCTTACAAAATTGCAGAGAAGAGGAGGGTGTCCAGTAAATAATGTTCCCAGAGGACCTACTCAGACTACTCACCTGCTACGCACCTACTCAGACTACTCACCTGCTACGCACCTACTCAGACTACTCACCTGCTACGCACCTACTCTGACTACTCACCTGCTACGCACCTACTCAGACTAAACTTAAGGGTTATCATCCTTCTTATTAGAAAGAGTGCATTGTCAATAACATTTTGAAACCATTCAGAAGACCATCTTTATTTATTCAATAAAACTGGCAAACTAGGATTTATGCACTCAAGAAGTCACTTAGTGTTCAGGAAACACGCAGTGGGAATATTTAACCTGATCAGACGACCATTCTTCACTTATGGACAGATCCAAGTTTCCAAGATAAATCCTATTTTACTCATCAAGAAGCGATTAATAGCACCATCCCCAAGTTCTCAGCATTAAAATTGTAATCTTGAGGTACAGAAAATATTTAGGGGATTTAACGAGAGCAAAAATTTCACATATTTTGCACACAAAAAAATTGTCAGATTTGCGCTTACACATTTCAACTTCACGCTCCGCCGTCGGCAATGTTCATGGCCGCTTATTTTAAACGTTTGAAGCTATACCTTTGAGAGTTTTGGAGGTTAATCCGAGCCCTTTCAGGATGCTCGGAATGGGTTTCAACAACTCCGGTCATAGGCCACGTGAAAATTCCAATTACTTCGAGAATGTGGTCCCCATTACCGTACACAAGTGTTGAAACTCCGAAGGCGACTGGATGAGGCGTTCTCTAGTAATGAGCGAAATACAATCGTAAAGATGGAAGAAAAGAAGACAAAGATTCAGGCAACCTCTTGAAGATACCCTTTCAGGGATACGTAATTAGCTTGATTGCTAGAACACTCACCTCACACATGTTTTCTTTTACTTTTGTTTTTACAGTTTACTTGTGGAATAAATACGGAGAGTTACATGGAATGATATTCTAACTTGATTTTTATTCGAATACAGAGTCTAGTAAATACGTTAACCATACAGATCAGAATAGATTATGAATGTGTGTACTCACCTAATTGTGGTTGCAGGGGTCGAGACTCAGCTCCTGGCCCCTGAGTGTGTGTTGTATGAGAGAGAGAGAGAGAGAGAGAGAGAGAGAGAGAGAGAGAGAGAGAGAGAGAGAGAGAGAGAGAGAGTGGTGGGAAGGCGGGGGAAGGGGGGAAGGGGGGGGGAAGGGGGGGGGGGAAGGGGGGGGAGGTGGAGCGGAAGAGAGGGGACGTGAGTAGGAATTTAGATTAGACAAGTGGGAATAATGTGATTTAGATCAGTTGTGCGTGTGAGCCCGCCACCGCCCTCCGCTTGGCGATAAGAGTGAAATTAATTAGCATCTCGTAGCATTAGCTGGAGATAGTGCAGTGATCAGCGCCTGGGGGAGCGTGGGAGAGGCGCACATGTTTTTACTCTCTCTCTCTCTCTCTCTCTCTCTCTCTCTCTCTCTCTCACACACACACACCCTCTCTACATTTCTTGTTTAGTCATTTATCCCTATTATTATACTGTTTATTCCCTGTCTCCTCTAGTTAAATTTAGAAATGAACAGGCGCCGCTTCCATAGCTACCACTACCAGCATCATCCCACCACTACCACCATCCCTACCGCCATAACCACTACAACTACGACCACTCCTACTACTACCCTACCAACATAACCATTAGATAAGCGACTATATTAGGAACGATAGTCACTGTCAGGGGACTTTCTAACCCAATGTACACGGACAGCTACACCATATATATCCTATAACATTGGCTATCAGAGCTAAACCTGCTGTAAGATGCTAATATGTGCAAATTCTAATAACCATATGATCACTACTGGAAATTACAGTTAGCAAAAAGGAAGATTCAATCATCTACTAAGGTTGTTTCAATACAAGGAAGTTAAGGAAATTTAACCTTCCTGCAACGCACTGAGAAATATTATTGGAACCGGGATCAGATCACTCAGGTTTTGACTCTCATACAGCTCTGGCAGGTTGCTTGCAGCAACAACAACCTGCTTGACGTCCCGACAGCTATGTCTGGGGTAAGTCTACATTGTGTGTCCCCTAGACGTTTCAACCCCAGTGTCTGCAGCTCAGCTCTCTAAGGAAATCAACGTATCCACTCACATCACTGCCACTTACCAGCTCACCGAGAAAGGGTATTTATTGGTAACGAAAGAGCAAGGATCATGTAAGAGTATGGGTAGAGTGTGTGTCCGGGTAAGAGAGAGTATGGGTAGTGTGTGTGTCCGGGTAAGAGAGAGTATGGGTAGAGTGTGTGTCCGGGTAAGAGAGAGTATGGGTAGAGTGTGTGTCCGGGTAAGAGAGAGTATGGGTAGAGTGTGTGTCCGGGTAAGAGAGAGTATGGGTAGAGTGTGTGTCCGGGTAAGAGAGAGTATGGGTAGAGTGTGTGTCCGGGTAAGAGAGAGTATGGGTAGAGTGTGTGTCCGGGTAAGAGAGAGTATGGGTAGAGTGTGTGTCCCGGTAAGAGAGAGTATGGGTAGAGTGTGTGTCCCGGTAAGAGAGAGTATGGGTAGAGTGTGTGTTCGGGTAAGAGAGAGTATGGGTAGAGTGTGTGTCCGGGTAAGAGAGAGTATGGGTAGAGTGTGTGTCCGGGTAAGAGAGAGTATGGGTAGAGTGTGTGTCCGGGTAAGAGAGAGTATGGGTAGTGTGTGTGTCCGGGTAAGAGAGAGTATGGGTAGAGTGTGTGTCCGGGTAAGAGAGAGTATGGGTAAAGAATGGGTTTTGTTAAAGAGAAAATGGGTATAGAGAGTATGAATGTAGAAAGTATGGGTATACAGTATGGGTAGAGAGAATATGGGCACGGAGAAGGCATGGGAAGAATGTGGGTAGAGCGTATTAATAGAGAAAGTATAGGTAAAGAGAGTATAGGTACAGAGTACGGGTACAGAAAGAATATTAATGAAAATACAAGAGAGAGCTCTGGTGGTCACGGGGAGAGACGCAGATTAATCCACAAAGTTGGTGAGGCTAGCAGAGTGTGAGCAGCGAGGAGGTGAAGGATGCAGGAGGAAGAGGGAGAGGTAAAGGGCGGAGGAGGAAAAGACGGAAGGGATGGGAGGAGGAGTCAAAAATGCAGGAGAAAGAGAAGACAAGAATAATTTAAACAAATATTAAATACTGAAACAGAAATTAATAAACACGAGTCAATATTTGATGAAATAAACATATAGACGAAGTAAATAAAATAGTAAATAAAAAATAATAAGTATAAAAAAAAACAAAGAAAAATGTGATAATAAAAAGCTAAGAAAAGTATCAGAAATATCAGAAAATGTTGATAAATTACGCGAAGGTGAAATATATGAGAAAATGTGCAATGAAAAATACATGAAAAATATATATTTGCTAATTAAAAGACAATAAACAAATACATAAAATACGAGTAGGAAAAATAACTCTAAATGTCCCAGAGAGAGAGAGAGAAAGAGAGAGAAAGACATAGGGAGGGGGAGAGGGAGAGGGAGAGGGAGGGGGAGGGGGAGAGGGAGAGGGAGAGGGAGGGGGAGGGGGAGAGGAGGGGGAGAGGGAGGGGGAGAGGGAGGGGGGGAGAGGGAGGGGGAGAGGGAGGGGGAGAGGGAGGGGAGAGGGAGGGGGAGAGGGAGAGGGGAGAGGGAGGGGGGGGGAGGGAGGGGGAGAGGGAGGGGGAGAGGGAGGGGGAGAGGGAGGGGGAGAGGGAGG